AGACATGCAGGTTATTATCACAGTAAAATTTTCATATACTCACAACTGGAAACCTACTTTTGCTCACTGCTATATGCATATACAGGCAGCTCTCGCTTTATACAATTCTGATATGCATGAATTTGTTTAAAAATGCCAGTTCCCAAAAGCAGTAAAAATATCAGTTACCACAGTATATAAACTGTAACTAACTGCATAAAGTATAAACTTCACTGCTAGTTGTTCACCCCATAAATCACTTTCATAAATAAGAGGTGAGCATCATGATCAGTGACCAATCATGTCATTTCTCTCCAAGTTTGTCAGGTTTGGTTACTAGTTACTGGTATCTGTTATATTTAGCTCATGCATGGATAGCAAAGCATGTGGTTGTATTGCTTCTTTGATTACTAGTGATAAATCTGCATAACATTTTACAAAAATTAATAACTGAAACAGGGAACTGGCAGTCAAAGATGAAAGTGCAGCAACCAAACAAAAACCAATAATGTTGGAAATTGAAATTTTAATTGAACATAACTGGTGTTACAGAATAGCTGACCATGGAAATATCAATACTGCATGCTTAGAGAGACTAGATATTCAGCTAAGGGAGTTTAGTATAATTTAGGATAACAGCAAATATGCTGTGATAAAAATAAAATTTAAAAAGTGTCAACAAAAACAGGAGCTTATTTCTCTTTCACAGAACAATCTGCGTCTCAAGGGTCAGAGCAGACATGGTGCTTCCACACTACGAAGACTCAGGCCCTATCTTACTGCTCTGTCACACGCAGCATGCAGCTTTCACTCAGGGTCTAAGATGACAGCTACAGCGCCTATCATTGTAATTGCTTTCCTGCCAGGAGGGGCCATTGGGAAAGGAAAGCATGCTCTTTACCTTTAAAATCCTGGCCTAAGAATTCATATGAAGTTCTGCACCAACCTCAGCAACCAGAATCTAGCCATATGACTACACTTGGGGTATGTAATCTTTATTTCTATCAATAAAATTTCTATCATAGAAATTTATTTTACTATAAAATAACAGGAGAATGGATATTGAGAAGATAATTTAACCATCTATCACAATAATTAATTTAATTATAGACAAAGAGAAATGAAAAATCAGTGGTGTTAATTAAATTTCCTTTGGTCAATAATAAGTGGGAGCCGAAACCGGTTTGGCTCAGTGGATGGAGCATCGGCCTGTGGATGAAGGGTTCCAGGTTCGATTCCGGTCAAGGGCATGTACCTGGGTTGCGGGCACATCCCCAGTGGGGGATGTGCAGGAGGCAGCTGATCGATGTTTCTCGCTCATCGATGTTTCTGACTCTCTATCTCTCTCCCTTCCTCTCTGTAAAAAATCAATAAAATATATTTTAAAAAATAATAATAAGTGGGAGTCAGAATTCAAACCACCGTCTGACTCCATACGCTGAGTTCTTTACTGTCCCTTGCACTCTCATTGTGCTATTACATCCTACTTTATAGTACTTTATTATATAAAAAAGAAATTTATATTTTATGAAACTGATAACCACATCTTCATGCCATGTAGCAAAACTTCACTGTACAGCAAATTCCTTTTTACCAGTAAGATCTAAGTTTTCCTGAATACTAAATATGTATGTTTAAAGCACATCTTCATGTCTGCTCTTTAGAATCCACCAGCATAGAAAAATGGTCACATTTCAAGAGTATTCACTGGAAAGAGTACCAAAAAGGTGTGACATTAAAATATCAACAAATACTGGCAAATAAGTACTTATTCAAATAACTCCCTAATCTTGACCTCTCCCATAACTTCTATACACAAGTTTATTTTTTAAATTAACAAAATACATGAAAGTCAGATAGGCAAAATTTACCAAAAAGGGTAAGTTAGCAAAATATTAAAAAAAAATAGATTATATAATCATTCAAATCAATTGGCAAGAGATTCAAAATTAAGATAAAAACAAACCTGGTTTTAGCCCACTATATGGTTCATATTCGTGTTCCAAGGCACAAACAATCATTTTCAAAATTCTATGTACTGCACTGCTATCCAAGCGAAAATCAAGAGGACCTATAACAAGGCTTTTGGTAGACTTCTCCTGAACTATTCCCAAATCTTCACTTTTTCCTAAAGAAAAGTCTTGTTGATTTGCAGAACCTAAAAGAAGCCAAATTTTATATTAATATTTTCGGCATCAAACATACCAAGTATACATTTTAATATTACTCTTCTCTCATCTTTTTAGCTTATAGCTTAATGCCTTAAAACCAATTCTCCATCAGTTGCATACACAGAACTTTGCTGATCTATAATTTTCTCTATGCAGATGAGAAGATACTATCACCAAAAAACAACCAATTCAAAATAAATTATTCCTGTTATCTATTTCTGTTATAAGAAGTGCTATAAAATTTCAAGTCATTCTTAGAAATTTATTCTTTCAAATCTAATTGTTTATATCCAATAATTCTATACACAATGCCATTATGTTGAGTGGGAAGGGTGACTGGAAGAAGTTGCATTTTACCACTATTTAATCTAAGAATTTCACTGAAAATTAGACTGTTTAAAATTACATGATCACAGGATACCCTGACAGTTCTATAATGACCATAAAAGTGAACAATAGGTAGCAATTGCTTTGAAATCTTTCCAGAATAAAATTATCATGGTCATGCTCCATGATGCAGAATCCAAGTTCCTCAGTCCCTTATCTACCCATATACTGAAGAGAAGATAGAAAATGGGGAGAAGCAATAGGCAATAAGGTGGTTATAAGGATAATGATAATTTAACTTTGACATATTCAGTTTTGAGATATTTTTGAGAAAGAAGTGAAAATGTCAAGTATGCATTGGATATTTAATTGTAAACCTTAAAGAAGGAAATATATGTAAAGTATATGATTGTCTAACCACTCAGCTGTATACCAGAAACCAATACAAAATAAAATTGAGAGGGGGGGAAAAAGGAGTTTGAACTAAAAATACAATATGGGCATCATCAAAATATACTTAAATCCATGGGAAAGAATGAGATTACTTCAGAGAGAGTTTAGAAAAAGAAGTGGTATGCTGGCCTTGTGGAAAGAGCTTGGAAGCATTTCTTCCTCTTGGAATTTTTGAAAGTTTGAGAGGATAGCTGTTAGTTCTCCTATGAGTATTGGTAAAACTCCCTCCCTATGATATTCCTTCAAGATCAAATCCTCTGTGAAATCTTCAACCCACAGACAAAAGTAGTCACTTACATGGATCTCTCTTAGTTCTCTGTATACATTGTTATTCTTAATATTATTTACTAGCGGCATGGTGCACAGATTCATGCACCCGTGGGATCCCTCGGCCTGGCCTGCACCCTCTCGCAATGCAAGACCCCTCGGGGGATGTCAGAGGCCCGGTGCACGAATTCGGCCCAATCCCCACAGGCCAGGCCGAGGGACCCCACCGGTGCACAAATCCATGCACCAGGCCTCTAGTATGCATATAAGCTGTTTGGTTAATCTCTTCCCACCCTCCCTCCGCCCCCTCCCCTCTGAAATTCATCAGTTTGTTCCATGTTTCCATGCCTGTGTGTTGAGCACCTGCCCCTTGGTGGTCAGAGCACATCATAGCTACTGGTCAAATGGTTGAATGGTCATGTAGGCTTTTACATATATAGATTACTAGTGCTCCGGTGCACGGATTTGTGCACGTTGAAAGAAAATTAATTAGAAGGTGGCTGGTGGGGAAGGACTGGGCAAGACAGGCTGGACACACCCAGGAGTTAACCTCCTGCAGTCCCTCCCCGGCCAGCCATACCCTGGGGTGGCACCACAGCTCAAAGAGTGTCTGAGGAGTGAGCAGGGTCCCTTCCACAGGTAGGGTCCCTCGGCCTGGCCTGTGGGGATCGGGCCAAAACCAGCTCTCCGACATCCCCCAAAGGGTCCCAGATTGTGAGAGGGTGGTTCTTGGATGACACACCCTGGAATCGGGCTCCCTCCTCTCTGGTTCCAGGATGCATCACCAAGAACTGCCGCTGCCAACTCACCACAACTTGACAGCTCCTGCGCTGAGCATCTGCCCCCTGGCAGTCAGTGCGCGTCATAGCTACCGGGCAGATGATCAGATGGTCGCTTAGCCTTTTATATATATAAATAATCACTTATTTAAGTGCATAGTTAAATACTACCTACTGGCTTCTTGAGAAATGTTTTGGTATTCTTCTCATTCACCATATCTAACTTAGCACCTAATAAATAGTAATCATTTTCTTAAATATGAAAAGTTAACCAAAAACATGGTGAACCTATTTTCACTAAGTTTTCAACATGAAAAAAGATTGGAATAATAAGCACAACACTCATATTACTGATGTACACACAAACATAAAATGGTTAAATTTTCAAAAACGTCTTATTGCTAGCATTATCAAATTAGAATAAGAATGAAAAACCAAGCCCAGCCAGTGTGGCTCAGTAAATTGAGACTTGTCCCATGCACCAGGAGGTTGCTGGTTCAATTCCTGGTCAGAGCACATGCCTGGATTCCAGGCTCAATACCCACTGGAGGGGTCTGCAGGAGGTAGTTAATGAATGCATTTCTCTCATCAATGTTTCTCTCTCCCCTTCTCCCTTCCTCTCTCAAGAAAAAATAAAAACATATTTTAAAAATAAATATCCTCCTATATAATAAAAGGCTTATGTGCAAATCAACCAAACAATGGAACAACCGGTCGCTATGATGTGCACTGACCACCAGGGAACAGACGCTCAATGCAGGAGCTGCCAAGCCACACTGCTCAGCCACAAGCTGGGCTCACAGCTGGAGAGTGCAGAGGCAGTGGCAGGAGCCTCTCCCGCCTTGCAGCAGCACTAAGGATGTCCCACTGTTATTTAACCCTTTGAGTGCCAACCAATATCCTAGGAACTATGCTAAAATTGCCAAGGCATTTTTGCTGATTTTACAGCAGTTTAGGAAAAAAATTATAAATCCCAAGTAAATGAAGTTACATATTCAAAAACTTAAGGAAACCTTTACTACATTGACATAGTTAGCAATATCATCACTAATAAAAGCAGACTTAGAACTGGATGCCATTTCGATGCTTTGATAGCACTCTCAGCACTTTTGGCGAAAGACAGGAAGAGCGCTATAGTGCTCCCGGACACTCTAGGGGTTAAGCAAAGAGTGGGCCTAAGCCATTAGTCAGACATCCCCTGAGGGCTCCCAGGCTGCAAGAGGGCGCAGGCCAGGCTCAGGAGAACTCCCAGCCCCTGAGTGCACGAATTTCGTGCACCGGGCCTCTAGTAAAATAATAAAAATAGCTTTATAAAAACAGCCAAAAAAGGATAAAATACATAATAAAACACTACATGTCCACAGTTTCTAGAAGATTTTATTCTGATGTTTCTGCTTCAAATAACAAACTTTTTTAAAAAGATCTATATAACCTTCAAAATGTAATTAATACAGAAAAGGAAATATTTACTACTTTTGACACCTTAATGTAATATAAAATTTAATGCATTAAAAGTTTAATATTTGATACATAACTAATTCTAGCTGATTATACAAATTGTCTTTTCCTTTCTTTTTATTTCATTTTATTTTTGCCATCACTCTCTCCTCTTCCACCTCCACCCACCCCGCTCCCCGCAACACCCCACAATCACTACACTGTTGTCCATGTCCATGAATTTCACATATGTACACAAAAAAGAGATTAAAAATGTCAAGAATCTAAGAAAATTAACATGGCATTAAAATTCAACCATTCCCCAGCTAGGGGAAGGTCAATGGGGAAAAAAAGGAGACATATGTACTACTATTTGTAATACTTTAAACAATAAAATTAAAATAAAATAAAAATTCAACCATTCCCCGAAGTAACAGAAAGTAAATCTAATGTAACAGAGGACCAATTGATTCTGATGAAGCTGGGGGAAAAGCAAACATAAAAGAAAGAAAACAGTACCTTTGCCAATGCTGTTCTCCATTGTATATAGGTAATCCATGTAGAAAGCCCCAAACCTTTGCATCCCAGCTACCTCAGTATATGTCTCCTGACAACCAAGCAAACAGAAAACATGTATAGAAGAGACTTCTGAATTTAAAATCTGGTAAGTCAAGAATCAGACACATATCCCTCAAAGAAAGTGTATCAACTGAAAGGAGTACCAAAATAACAAAAAAGCAGAGGTTATCTGAAGAATTCACCTCTAAGTAAGGTAATGCTACCTCTATTACAAACCACACTATAGTTCTACTAGACATTTTGAACACTCTATCAATTATGTCTGGTTAATGAATACCTATAATGGAGGATAGTACACTCTTGACCTGTAATACTATCAAAAACTATTTAATAATGTACACTCTCAAATAGTTCTATCCTTAAATATTTCAGTACACTTATTTGAAACCGTTTAAACACTAAAGCTATTCTAAGATATGTAAAAGCATGTTAATTATGCAGATCTAAATTAAACTCTTTATTTTCAACAATAAAAGTAAATCTGTATTGAAAAGGGTTAAATGTAAATTACCTATTCTATTACACTAATCTTCAGACTTTTTGGATTTTTAAATTTATTCCATAAAAATACATTAGTATAATCTTATATGAAAAAGTCAAATAATACAAAGACACATACATAGTAATACATGAAATGCTTCATCTCTTCCCATTAATCCTACAACCCAAAAGTAATTGAAATTAAAAGAGATACTTCTGTGTTTCCTCCATGACTATTTTAACAATAGGGAGTGGATAAACTAACTGTCTCCACAGAAAAGTAGAGACCTTATGAACTCCTCAAACTTCTCAGGCTATAGAAACTTGATGAAAACATTCTAAATGTCTCAGTAAACAAATAGCCTTAAGAATATATTAGATGAGAAGAAAGATAACAATAATAAATAGTCATATAAGATGCCCACCCAAACACAGCCTAGAACTTGGCTCAAATATATATATATTCTCTGACCTTATGATGAGTTGCATCCAAGATAAATTCTGCACGAGTACCATTATTTTCTGGGCTTCGGTAATCAAACAGTGAATTTGTAAGGTATGTCAAGCCTTTCATACTCAAATTTTCACCACAAATGAAGAAACAGGCTTCCTGAATATAAATGCAAAAATTTTTAACAGGAGGAAAAATCATTAGACCATTTAAGAAAATGAAACCTTGGTTTTATAACACCCATTCAGTAGTCAGTAGAAATCACTACAACTTGAAGTCCTGTAAAAAGACAAGAATGCTGTCTCTATTTTCACTGCCTATTTTGGCAAAGAACACTTTAACAAACCAAAAAGGAACTCCAAGTAGCTGCTATAAACAAGAAAGAAGTAACATTTATGAATTGGAAAGTATTTGGAGCTACTGTCCAGGTGTTAAGTGCTACCAACTTTCTAAATTCCCCTGAGCTCTATAATTTCTTACAGGGAAAACAGTTAAAGTTCCTCTCTCAAGCCAAAGATATATGCAGTCTAGCAGACTTTTGGTATGGTTAAACACTTCAATAAGCACTTCATTATCCCTGCATTCCATCCAAAAAAAGCAGGAAAGGGAAGATTTTGACTTACAGTTTCACTCCTATTCATATTCTCTTCAAAATCTTTAACACCCATAATTCCTTTAAGGCACATGGCTCTGCAACCTACAAAACCAATCTGGCAATCAAAGAAAGGCTCTCCCATCATAAGGGCCTATAAAAGGAAAGGAAATAGAACTAAGAACTTAAATTTCATAAAAATGTTACAGGTTTTCCTAAATTTCTAAATCAGTTGAAACATCTTTAGAACAGAGCCTTTTCAAATTTATTCTCCTCAGATCATAAATCCTATGAAAGTAAGAAACTTCTTACTTGTCCCTGTATCCTCAAATGACTGGCACTTCATGAACACTAATGCACACATACATATGAGCACATATAAGTTAAATGAAAAAAAAATAAATGTTGCAATTATAGTAAAACCTTTGTTTAAAAAAATTATTTCAACTAATACTACTAACCACTAAAACAGAAATACAAAACTATAAATATATTTTAAACATACCAATTGTGATTAAAACATATATTCATTCAATACTAACTTTAAGAACTGCCAAAAGATTTTAAAAATACATGTTAAATGTTGAAAGATTACCTTACCTCAATTGTGGTTCCTTCTTGTTCCCAACACAATACTTCTTTAGATGTTACTTTTTGAGGGCTATAATAACTACTTTCAGCTTGCATTTCAGTGAGCTAAGAAATAATATAAGAATGTTAAGTCAAATTAGTATTAAATGGCAGTAAACTGTCATTATTATGATGGATTGATGGAAACAAGGCCAATTTTAAGATTTGAGAAATTTAATTATTAAGCAGGAAAACAAGTGCAACAAAAACAGCTCTAACAGGTTATCCATGGCAAAAAGGTTGAATATGCTAGTCTAATATAAGGTGGTAAAGGTATTTAAAGTAACTCCTTTTTCTTAACAATCTTGCTTTAAAAGGTGAAAGCTGTGCACCTATAACAGTTCCATAGTTATAAAATGGTTCATATATTCTGCCAAAGTTTTTATATTTTAACCTCAATTTATTTTATATTCACTAATATATTCAGCCAGGTTTATTTCAATCATTTCCAAGATTTCTCCCCATTTGTAACCAAAAAGAAAGCTGTGAGAAAACACAAATACAGTCAACAAAACTCTAGTTCTATGAAAGAAACAGGTTCATAAGTGTTTATTTTCAAAATATGTGTCTCACAATATGTCTGACTCATTCAATCATGCAACAAATAACTAGATAACAAGTACGAATCTAGATGCTGACAAAAGAAAAAAAAAATATTCTTGTTCCCTGATGCTTACAACACATTATTTGTATGTATCCAAAAATTAGATAAATTATTTTAAAAGGTAGTTTTCTAAATGCAATGTGGTATCCTGGTTGGAATCATGTACCAGAAAAAGGACATTATGAAATTCAATTAAAGTCTGGAATTCAACAGTAATGCACTAATATTGGCATCCTGGGATTGACATATGTACTATGAAAAGGAAAGAGACTAACAATATGGGAACTGTGTAAGAAGTATATGTCACCCACAGAGAACCTAGAGACAGAACCTAGAGACGGAACATGGCAAAAGATCCTGGACAGAAACTGGCAACAGAACCTAGAGACAGAACCTAGCGAGAGAACCTGGCTGAAGATCCTAGAGACAGAACCTGGCTACAGAACCTGGATAGAACATGGCAAGAGAACCTGATGACAGAACCTGGCTGGAGAACCTAGCGAGGGAACATGGCTACAGAACCTGGCTACAGAGCTTCACTGGAGATCCTGACCAGAACTTGGCTAGAGATCCTGCCTAGGCTGCTGATCAACTGAATGCTGTCTCCGTGTCACTCCTTCTTCGCCGACTCCGTCCACACCTTTGGGGACCCCTGGACCTGCTGGGGTTGGTCCCCAGCAAAGGGGAGAGACTCCCGTGTCGCTGAGTCAGGCCGCAGGTCCCTGGCTGTTATCACCAGCTGAGGAGCATGCTGAGGAGCTGGGGTCCTGGAGCCAAAGGGTGGGTTCCAGTCTCATTTCTGTCACTTCCTAACCACGTGGCCCTGCCTGGGTTCAACACTTAAACTCTGGAGCAGGGTTGGTTTTTTGTTTGTTTGACCTGTAGAGAGAATCACAGTACCTACGGGGTGCCCAAAATGTATACACATTTTAACAGCTGGTAACTCAATTTTGAAAATGAAATGTATTCTAATAAACACTGCCTATTTAATTATTAAAAAAAGAAGTATATGTGAATTTTCTGTACTATCTCTGAAACTTTTCTGTATATCTACAACTATTCCAAAATAAAAATTTTTAAAGGGTATTCTGCCCATGATTGCTAATGATTCAGTGCCCCTTATTCTTGTGAAATGGATATAAATTCTTCAACCTTAAATACAAAGTCAACATAAAAAAGAGAAAAACATGTTTAACTTAGTCAAATAGAATTTATTGAACCAAAAAGTTTATCATTTTAAGTATGATCTTTTTATACTGAGAATCAACTAATTATTCTCACTTTTTATAACAAAAATATTTTTATATAATATAAGCCTTTGTTTCTTGGATGCTTCCCAGAACTGGTACACACACATGTTGCTATTTTCAAGTGCAATTCCATAATCTAAAATGCATAAGTAAAACTGAATATTTTAAGCTTAATCACCTTTCAGCTGTCTGCAATTATTGTACAGAACAAGCAATTAATTGATTAAAAGGACTCAAACATTACAAGAACAATTTTCAATATTATATTTTTTAAATGCTACATTTAATTTGGCATGATTTTTGTTGGATTGATATCAACTGTTCAGAATGCTAATGTAGAAACATGACCTTGTTTTCTGATCGAAATATGAACCACAAATTAATTCCATACATTCTTCAAATACAAGTAGAACAATGAATTCTAACATTTTCCTCTAATGTTGATAAATATCAACATATTTCCCTTAGAGAAACCTTACAGAGAATAAATAAATGTTGCAAATTTTTCAAAAAATATATTAACTAATGACAAACATTGCCCCAAAAGTCTATTAGAAGTTTTATATATAAATGCCTAGTGACTCAGTTTAATACAATTCTTTCTCATCCATGAAGTTAACAGAAATATACCAAATTAATTTCACATTTAAAATAGGCAAAAATCACCAGAAAAATTACCAGCAATCCTTGACATCCTTCAGCAACTTAGATCAAAAATAACTTCCTGCCTGGCATCAACAATGGTTGAGCATCAACCTGTGAATCAGGAGGTCAGGGCTTGATTACCTGTCAGGCCACATGCCCAGGTTGCGGCTCGATCCCCAGTCTGGGGTGTGCAGGAGGCAGCCAATCAATGATTTTCTCTCATCATTATGTTTCTATCTCTTTCTCCCCCTCCTCTCCCTCCCTCTCTAAAAACAATAAAAAATGTTTTGTTTTTAAAAACTTCCTAATTTGGATCATGTAAAACTGGCAATATATCTAATAATTGACAACAGTTAGCTTTTAATTACATTTAAAGATTTTATTGTTTTATCATTTTAATATTGCAGACTGATCCATATTTCTTTAGTTTAGTCAAAGGTAAATCAGTGAATTCTGAAGGATGTGGACTGCAGCATGGGGAATATGGTTAATGGTATTGTTTTGGGGCCAGATGTGTGTTTGGGGTGTCAGGGGAACCACTCTATGAAATGAATGGTTGTCTGGCCATTGTGCTGTACGTCTGAAGCTAGGGCATAATGGTATTGAATGTAAACTGTGATTGAAAAAAATTTTTTTAAGTATAGGATGGACAATGTAATGAAAAGAGAGGTAGGTGAGATAAACTCAAATAACAAAATTAAAAATCTATAATGAAGACAATAACAAAAAAAGGTAAATCAATGAATTTCAATTAAAAATGTATAAAATAAAAATTTAATTTTAAGTAATAAAATAATTCAAAAATAATAAATGATGGTGCTAAAATAGTACAACTAATGAGTGCATTTTTATCATTTTCATGCAAACTTTATTAGCAAAATAAATCTTTTAAACCAATCAAATCATGACTAAAATTTTTGTTGCAACTTATTCTCTGTATTTTTCTGCTTTTGTCATTTTAGAAAATACTAAATGATTTTAATTACAAAAGTCTTTAAAGACTATTACTTTATTTTTTTAATATATTTTATTGATTTTTTTACAGAGAGGAAGGGAGAGAAATAGAGAGTTAGAAACATCGATGAGAGAGAAACATTGATCAGCTGCCTTCTACACATCTCCTCCTGGGGATGTGCCCGCAACCCAGGTACATGACCTTGACCGGAATCGAACCTGGGACCTTTCAGTCCGCAGGCCGACGCTCTATCCACTGAGCCAAACCGGTTTCGGCTAAAGACTATTACTTTAAAATAGTTTAATCTACCATCTGCTATAGTTATAATTTGTTTAGTTGTACTACTGATTGGAAAAAAATTATTTCAAGCAGTTAACAAACAATTCAAGCTAAATTAAAAATACCGTGAAACCAAAAACTTGACATTTTTCCACTGCTTTATTTCAAGTATATAACTAGTTGCCTGGAACACTACTTTACTCCCTCAGAAAAATGCTTCCATGGAGAAAAAAAAGAAAAACACACACAAAGACAAATAAAATTGGAGAAAAAACAGTATCTAAAAGAGGATTCCAAAATTTTAGAAGATAGAAAGCAAATGATATGGCTGGATGATGAATGGATGGGTAGATGATGGATGGCTATATTAATTCAACAGATATTTATTTGTTGAATATGTACCAGGCAATTTCCAAGAATTAGAGATACAACTACCCTTAAAAATTACCACTTAATGAGTGTGGTATACCGTCAAAAAAGAATATCCATGATTCTCTGAAAAGGCTAGTATCCCTCCATCCCTTGATGGGCATTTGTGTTGCTTCAACTTTTTGGCCACTTTGTATGTATGGACATGTATGTGCATCTATTTGTTTCATACCATTTTCAATTCTTTTGAGGATATAAGAAGCATTAAAATTGTTGGGTCATATAATAAGTCTACGTTTAACTTATTGAGGAACCGTCAAACTGTTTTCCACAGCGACTGCACCATTTTGCATTCCCACCAATCTTCCCATTTGTTTTTAACCAACTCCAACTAAGATTCCACCAGTGTCAAGTCACTGCTCTGGTCAAGATTACCAAGCATTTCCACAATGCCAAATCCAATGATCTATTCTCACAAATGACCTACTCCTCCTTCCACTTCAAAACATTTATGGCACTTAGCTTCCAGACAGACAATCTAGTAGCTTTTTGCCTCCATCGCTAGTCACCTTTTTCCAGTTTCCCTCAGAATTTCTTCCTCGTCTTTCCAAATATATAACATCACAGTGCCTCAGAGCTTGGTCTTAGAATCTCTCCTTATTTCTATCTACACTGATTCCTGTCTTAATAAAATCCTGATTTTAAAATCTTACATTTATACTCAGACTAAACTTCTAATCTGAAAGCGATTCATAAATCCAACCAGATAGTTCGACTTGAATATACAGTGGCCATCTCAATCCTGCCCAAAACAAAACTGATATTTCTCTCAGACTTCATCCTCTCACAATCCTCCTCATCTCAGAAAATCAGAGCTCAACTCTTCTAGTTGCTCAGGAGCCATCCTTGGATTGTCTGTATTTCATTTATGTCTCACAATAAAATGTACCAGGAAGTCCTGTCCTCTGGACCTTCAAACATCCAAAATCCAGTTACTTTTCACCACCTCCACTTGCTACCACCCTAGCCCAAGCCATTTTATCTTTTGCTTGAAAATTGCAATCTTCTCTGTCTGCTTTTGTTCCCATAGAATCAGAGTGATGCAGTTAAAAACATAACTCAGATCATTCTATAACTACTATGCTAAAAATTGTTGTATCTCACTCAGGATTAATGACAGATCCCTAAAATGACCTACAAAATATTATAAATTATGGACCTCTCCCAACCCCGTTACCTCTCAGACCTGATTTTGTACTACTTTCACATTAGCTCACTTTGCTGGGGACTTTTTGCTGTTCCTTGAACTACTGGAGAATTGACATTTGCTATTCTCAGAATATTCATTCCCAAGGACCTACAAAGCTCCCTCTTTCACGGGTCTTTTTCTTAAATATCCCTTCCTTTAAGAACTTCTCTGATCACTCAATTTTAATTTGCAAATCCCCTCATACCTAGTGGAAGCATCTGCTATTCCTCTTCTCTCTTTATTTTTCCTACATAATCCGTATCATCAATGACCATACTATGTATCTTCATTTATTTATTTATTTATAACAATTCAAGTTTTAAGAAGCATGATCTGTTCACTATGGTACAGAGTCTAGAATCAAAACAGTGCCTGGCACATAGATGGTGTTAATATATTTTTGTCGAATGAATTAGATACTGTTCAAGAATATTACATGCATAGTAAAACTATTATAAAAAGCCAAGGAATAAATAACCTAAAATTAAAATTAGGTTATATTGTAGGGGCAGAGAGGACAAAATATGATCGAAGAACACATAGGGTGCCAGAATACTATAAAATTTTATTTTTCTTAAAATAGTGTTCACTTTATTATTCTTTAACTTGAAAATATATATATTGTACAATCTCTTTTGAATATATATTTTACATGCATTTCTTTTTTGTTGTTGTTAATCCTCACCCAAGAATTTTTTTCCCCCACTGATTTTTAGGGAGAGTGGAGGGGAGGATAGAGAGAAGAGAAGAGAAGAGAAGAGAAGAGAAGAGAAGAGAAGAGAAGAGAAGAGAAGAGAAGAGAAGAGAAGAGAAATAGCGATGTGAAAGACACACACAGATTGGTTACTTTCCACATGTGCACCAACTGGGGCTGGGGCTGGAATCTGCGACCCAGAATGAAACCTTGACCAGGAATCAAACCCGCCACCCACCAAATCAGCGGTCGCCAACCAGTGGTGGTCCATGAGGTCCAAAAGGTTGGTGACCACTGCTTTGGTGCATGGGCCAATGCTCCAACCACTGAACCACACCGGCCAGGGCTTACATGTATTTCTTAATGAAGTGGAAAAAACTATGTTAAACACTACTAAAAAGAGTAAGATAAGAAATTAGACTGTCTTAAAGAGTGAAAGAGAGGTGGGAAGGCGATAAACTATATCAACAACCCTTTTAAGTAAATTTCGCAATGAAAGAGAACACAGAGAAGAAAAAGTAGCTGGAAGGGTACATGAGTAAAAGTAAGATCATCTATGTGCATTTCTTTTTTAATGGAAATATTAAGGCATCTTTGTAAGCCAATTAAAAGGTTTAGTAGGGAGAGAAAAACTTTTCAAGAAGCTGATTTTTCGCCAATCAGAAAGGATATATGCACCCCTATGTTCATAGCAGCACAATTCACCATAGCTAAGATTTGGAAACAGTCTAAGTGCCCATCAGCAGATGAGTGGATTAGAAAACTGTGGTACATATACACAATGGAATACTATGCTGCGGTAAAAAAAAAAAAAAAGGAACTCTTGCCATTTGCAGCAGGATGGATGGATCTGGATAGCATTATGCTAAGTGAGGAGGGAGGTTGGGGGTTAATGGGGGGGATGAGGACACATTTGTAATACCTTAACTAATAATAAAAAAAAAAAGCAGCTGATTTTTAAAAAGAAGGGAAGTGGAAAAGGCCTTAAGAAGATAGGAAGACACCAAAATTCAGAGATGTCATATGAGGGGACCTATACATGAAGTAAGGATTGGTAGAATGTATCTTACATCTATTGAATGTAAAACAAACTTTATGCTAGATCCTAATTAGAAATAAAAATGTAAACATTAAGCTGAGAGATATGAATAGCAAGAAAAAAGAAACTTACTTTGAAAGTCACTGTTGCCTTTGTACAGTAAAATCCTATAGAAACAATAGGATCCTTCAAAGTCTGAGATTTCTGCTGATGCATGGTTGATGTTGGATCATTTCCAAGGTAGTCTTCCTCACCATCATCATAACTCACAATTGCAGGCACAAATGACCAGGCCCATGATACCCATCCCTGTGACTGTTCATCCTCTTGCTGTGAATACAACTCTTGACCTTTGTACTGAGAAGGATAAGGCATTTCTATTCTTGTTTCATCTTCAACACCTATCAATCAAAATAAAATGACTTTAAGTAAGTCAAAAGGATTTAAATTTAAAAAATTAGGACGGTAAATTCTGTTAATATGTATCTCCCACATCTTTCTTTCTACATAAAAAGTATGAACAAATCATACATTGGTTATTATTTTAAACCAATAATTTAGCATTACCAACTTTAAGTTTCTATATGTTATATTGTATCAACCTCCTTTCTTTTTTTTAAATATATATATATATTTTATTTCAGAGAGGAAGGGAGACAGAGAGAGAGAGAGAGAGAGAGAGAGAGAGAGAGAGAGAGAGACATCAATGATGAGAATCAGTGATGATCCGCTGCCCACCTGCCACCCTCACTCCTTACTGAAGTATTGAGCCTGCAACCTGGGCATGTGCGCTGACTGGAAATCAAACCATGACCTCCTGGTTCATAGGTTGATGCTCAACCACTGAGCAACACACGCCAGGCTTACTCTCCTTTCATAGGCCATAATTAATGTTATATGGAAAGCATTTTACCACATAATTTTACCACATAATTTTAAATGTAGTTGATAAATAAAATTAATAAATTCATTTATTGGCATTTCACTCATTAATTTAAACAACAAAAAAACCCTACTTCCCAAAAATAAGGCTAGAGTGCTAAAAACTGACTTTTCTTAGAAACATAATATCAGAAAACTACAAGAAAAGTTCCTGATTCCCTGATGCACCCAGAAAAAAGAGAGAGAGAGAGAGAGAATGGCAATTACTCTGGGCAAAATGCACACCCCCCCCAAAAAATAACTACCCCAAAGGATGAAAGCAAATGTTATAATGAAATTATTCTTATATACTGTAAAGAAAATAATAGCGTTGATGACTCTTATTAGCATGTAACATGAATTAGTATCTTTTCTTATTCTACAGATGAAAAATTATAGCAAACAATTTTTATTTGGTTACAAATTAACAGAGACTAAAGGTTTAAATTCCAGCTGCTCTTATTCCATCTTGTAAAGACAAATTCCACCAGTCTCTTAACATTATTGTATCTCAAGGGCACATGCCCGGGACTGTGGGCCCGATTCCTAGTAGGGGACGTGCAGGAGGCAGCTGATCAATGACTCATCATTAATATTTCTATCACTCTCTCCCTTCCTCTCTAAAATCAATAAAAAATATATTTTAAAAAAGAATAATTTACTAGGAAATCTCGAGGTTGCACTACTTTAACTTTTGTATAATATACATTCTGAACACTTTTACCTATTAGAAATATTAGTTATTTTTAGCATGCAGAAAAAAGAAAATCAAAATAGTATCAAGCATGTAGGAAAAAAAATCAAAGTAGTGCCAAACAACCAAAATAAAATAATGCCACCACATTAGAACTGTACAGCTCAATCTAATGTATTTTTAAAGTTTCACAATTATGAAAACACTTTGTAAGAACAATAGTTCTAAAATAAATCTTTATTATATTTACCTGTTATGTTTCCTGACATATCTTTATTATGACAGGTAAAGTCTTCAGTTTCTCCATCTTTAACATTGCTTATTTCTCCATAGTAAAGAGCAATCCCAAGTTGCATTATACGGATAAACATAGGCAGTTGTTGATCTGTGATAGAAAGTTTCAAACTCTCTACTAAGGTGTGAATCTGTATTTTGAAAAAATAAAAACACCAACAAAATCATTTTCAAAGGGCGTATCTTTTAGCATAGGGAGAGAAACGTTAAATCTAATTGGAATAGCATAAGAGAAATAGTAATATCCCAAACATTTCTAACATTAAAGCCAAAACAATAGTTTATTCTAAAATCTTAGGAATTAAACAAATTTTGCTCTGATCAATAAACTTTAGATAGAAACTATATTAAGCCAAATGATGTAAATACAAATAGAAATGCCTGAAATTCCAGTTAGTACCGAACCCTATATATCCTATGCTTTCTCCTAAACATACATATCTTTTCCTTAAAGGAAGCACTTGAAGGCTTCTCTTTGGCCTATCCAAATTGCCAGCATCACTACTCTTGCTATTAAGAGCCTTTAGCAAATAAAATAAGGGTTACCTGGACAAAAGCACTGCAATACCACGATAGTGGATCTGACAGCCAAGAGGGCTACTAAGTGACTAACGGGCAGGAAGCTTATATAGCATGGATGTGCCAGACAAAGAGATGATTCACATCCAGGCAGGATGGAGCAGGATGGAGTGAGATTTCATCTCACTACTCGAAACGGTGCACAACTTAAAACATGAATTATTCGCCACCCAAAGTCAAGTCTCCTTCCATCACCTTTTATTCCCCATTTACCCCTCTCCCTCTTCCCCTCACAACCCCTCCCCACACCCCCACCTCTGTTGCGCTGGTAATCACCATGCTATTGTATGCCAAAGAGAGGTTATATTTTAATTAAAACCTATAAAATTTCATTAACCAATGTCACCCCAATAAATTCAATTAAAAGGTTTAAAAAACAACTTATGAATTGTTTATATCTAGAATTTCCCATTTAATGTTTTTGGATCATAGTTGATTGAGGGTAACTGAAACCATGGAAAGCAAAACTGTAGATAAGGGAGGATTACTGCACCCACTCTATAATGCTGAGAGTATGGTAGTACTGCCTCTCCTTCAAAAAAAAAAAAAACAACAACACACACACACAAAGACCTCTGTCACAACAAGAATAAAAGTTTCATGATATCATTTTAGTAAAATTTTAATC